AACCAGTGACAACTGCAACAAAAAAAATAGCTGGGAGTTGTAGCAAGTGCCTGTAGTCCCAGCTACTTGGGAGGCTGAGGCAAGGGAACCACTTAAGCCCAGCAGTTTGAGGTTGCTGTGAGTGCTATGGCACTCTACTGAGGGCCACAAAGTGAGATCTGTCTCAAAACAAAAACAAAAACAGCCAGGTGTGGTGGCACTGCCTATAGTCCTAGGTACTCAGGAGGCTGAGGCAGGAAGATCCCTTGAGCCCATGTGGCCATTTGAGGCTACAGCAACCTATAATTGAGACACTGTACTACAGCCTGACAAAGACCATGTCTAGGAAGAAAGAGGAAAGGGAAGAAAGAGGGAGAGATGAGAAGGGAGAGAAAGGGAGAGAAAGGGAGGGGAGGGGAAAGGGAAAGGGAAAAAAGCCAAAGTGAACAGGTCATTGGAGCTGAATTTCAGGCAAGCCAGTATCCAGTTTGTGTTTATGCTGGAACTATGGAGATGCAGAAGAAAACTCACCCTATCCCACCCACCCTGTGCCCATGGTGGCATGCCAGTGGAATTTGACCCCTAATGCACCCACCTGTAAGGGACAGCAGTTGGAAGCTGCATGGTACCCATTTGCTGAATTGAGATCCCAGGCTTAGGAGCTCCTTCAACCCTACCCTGGCACCCCTATGGGAACTGACCCTCCCAGACCACCTTATCTTATTATATGCCATCATGACCCCTAGCTCATATCCCTGACCTGTTCCCTACCCACTACACCAAGTTCCTGAGGTGATATTGAGACTCAACCTGCATGCTATTCTGTATGGTCACCATAGAAATGATCCCTTCCACTTGTCACACCCCATAGATGGGGCACTTCTGCTAGGAATCTCTAGCCTGAGTGCCTATCACTGGACTGACACTCTTCTGGCTTTTTTTTTTTTTTTTTTAAAGAGACAGAGTCTCGCTCTATTGCCCAGGCTAGTGCACAGTGGTGACATCATAGCTTGCTGCAACCTCAAACTCCCAGGTTCAAGCGATACTTGTGCATCAGCCTCCTGAGTAGCTGGGACTACAGGTGTGCACCACTATGCCCAGCTAATTTTTAAATTTTTTGTAGAGATCTTTTGCTATCTTCCCCATACTGGTTTCAAACTCCTAGCCTCAAGCAATCTTCCTGCCCCAGCCTCCCAAAGTGCTAGGATTACTAAGATTACAAGCATGAGCTCCTATGCCTGGCTCCTCTGGCTCTTCGAGGACCTTTGTGCCAACCCCAGCAAAGGTTTTTGTCCTGCCAGAGTCAGAGGTCAGAATGGCTTACACACTTGGATGGGAGACAGAAGAATCTGACTGGCTCCTAAGTCAGGTGCAGTTAAATTGTGGGAGCTAGATGTGAATACGCATACTGTCAAACAGTTCTATAAGGAAGAGCATGATGACATCATCTACAGTCTCTGGCACATAAGCTGTCAGCAGTAGCAAAGAGTTCTCCATCAAGGTTTAGTAGCAAAGACTTCTCCATCAGTACCTTGCTCAGCAGATGGTACTGAATTCATACTGAGCTTGTGCTGGGCAAATCAACTGTGTTGCTTGCTGCCTCTCGCCACAGGGATTCTGAGAGGCAAGTTTTTCATGCAGTGAACATGATAGAATTTTACTTGGGGACATCCACTGTCCCAAGCCAGCATCACAGACGGGCTACAATGTCTCTGGCTATCTTCCTACCTCATTGATTTGCCATCCTCAGCAAAGTGAGTCTTTAGTCCTTGGTGATGAGAATGGGACTGGTTCCCTCATGGACACCAAGACTGCAAGTTGTACCCTCAGCTCAGCTGTACACTCCCAATGTTTCACTGGGCTGGTATTCTTCCTACAGGAATTTCCTTCCTGGCCGTAGACACTGCTCACTTTCTGTGCTGGACTGAGGCCTTCTAAGGTGTTCAGAAGCCAAACCCACAGAGACTTTGTGAGAGATGTTCCTTGGTCCCTGCACAATCACTCCCTTCTTACCCCATGGGCCAGGATCATTAGGTCATCCACCATATTGTGCCCACAGAACCTCTCCCGCTTTCTGGACCTGAAAGTGTTGCTGAGTAGATAGGGCTAAGGACAAAAAGCAAGTCCCCTGAATACCAACTGCTTTGCAACACCCCCTCAGCTAGTGGGATGACATAGTATGTTGATATACTAGATCTGTGCATTGTCTTTCAGCCTGAGGGAGTATGGATTCTGGAATTCCATAGTCACAGGGAGGAAATACTGTCTTGAAAATGGATGTGTTATCTGAAGATGTGTGTATATCTATAGTTTGTGGTGGTAGGGGGGAATTAAAAAAAAAAGATCCATCCCTAAGCTCTGTCCTACCCTCTCTCCATAAAAAAAAAAGTTGACAGGGCAGTGCCTGTAGCTCAGTGGGTAGGGTGCTGGCCACATACACCAAGGCTGGCATGTTCGAGCCCGGCCCAGCGCCAGCTAAAAAACAATGACAACTACAACAACAACAACAAAAAGTTGACAGAAGGGTTAAACACTTTGCTTGTAGCCATGTACGGGTGGGACATGAGTATCCCTAGATTCTTGGAAGCAGTGCTTTTGCTACTAATAGAGAACAATCTACTTTATTTTTTAGTGATTTTCATCATAAAAATCCTGCCCAGCCTAATTCAAAATTGCCAAGACATGGAAACAGCCCAAATGCCCATCAACCCATGAATGGATTAATAAATTGTGGTATATATACACCACAGAATACTATGTAGCCATAAAAAAGATGAAGATGTCACATCTTTTATGTTTATCTAGATAGAGCTGGAACATATTCTTCTTAGTAAAGTATCTCAAGAATGAAAAAAAATCCAATGTGCTCAATACTACTATGAAATCAATATATAATCACCTACACATTCATATGAATGGTAAAACATAACTATAGTCCAAAAACTAGAAGGGAAGAGCAGAGAGAGGGGAGGGGAAGGTGGGA